ACACACACACACACACACACACACACACACACACACACACACATATACATGCATACATACATACGCACACACACACACATATATATATATATATATATATATATATATATATATATAATTTGTTTTAATTTTAATTGCTTTTCTGGGCTTGCGATCTGGTTATGAAGCTTTGTTAGTTCACTTAATCTCAAATCTGTCCATAAAAATAATACTCTTCAATCTCATGTGTGTGAAATATGAAACAGATTGCATATGGATTGTAATTATTTTCCTTGAAAGTGAAACCTACAGTAATCCATTTTCTCCCTAAGCACCTTAATAGATAGTTAACTTCCCCTGTTTGTGTTACATCATGAATTCAGAGCTACGAAACAGATGCAGATGGTCATAATTAAAGCTGCTTCGTTTGCCTGAGCGCGTGAAAAATTGATGGCAGCACACTTCAGATGAAACACTGCCTTCATTTTATAATACAAATACACTGAGAGGTTAAATTTCACAAATATGCCATGCAAAATTAAGTGGACGATGTATGATTTTCATAAGTTAGCTCTGAATGCAATGCTTGCATAATATTACAAAATATATTGTGTTAAAATTTCTGAAAATGAATGTGAGCCAAAGAGAAAAAAGTTGCAGTAAATTCAAACTCCAGTATAACACAGTTAGAACATATAATGTGATCAGTGGCATAATGAAGTGAGTTAGAAAACCATGTCAACATCCTGCCTTCACAGTCGCTTCACACTAATTACATTTCCGTTAAAAGTTCAAAACAGCACAGATAAGAAAGTGCATCTACATACTCATGTAAACACTTTACTGGCTCGTGTGTGGTGAGGAATGTTAGCAGATGAACACGAGATCCAGCAGTGATTGACAGGGATCGTTCTGGAACATTGATTTAGATCAATACATCTGCTTAACCAATCACATCATTCCTTCCAGGTGTGACATCAATGACATCGAGAGTGTCAGAGTGAAAATCTCCCAACACAACTGTGATGATCAGCTCTCACACAGGACGTATTTTATTAACAGAGCAGTATTGGAGAATAACAAAGTAGGCACTGCTAACTTAACTACAACTTTCAGTTGCATGCAGTAATATTATAGTCAGCTAGAACATTTTTCATTTTCATTTAGTTTATCCTGTACTAAAATAACTAAAACTGAAACTGAAATAAAAATTAATCAAAACTGTATTGACAGATGAAAAAAACTAAGAAAAATTAACAAAAATGACAAAAAAAAAACACAACAAAAAAATTATGAAAAAGAAATGTTACGCCCCTACCATACTGTTGATGCCGTGTCCCAGCCGGAGCGACGACACAAAAACATGAAAAGCCATTATAAACGAGGCATTTGTTAAATCCAGTGGGGACATACTTATGGATTTATAATGATTTATACTGTCTTTTTACGCGTTGCATTGCATCGCGCCGCGTAAACATAAAACCCTGTCTGCATTTGTGATCAGAGAAATGACAAACAAGTGCTACTC